ATAGATTAATAGTAAATATTGTTGATAATGGTCAAAACCTACTAGTTTGTAGTTTAAATTTACTATTTTACTTAAAAAACTTATATGAAACAAGTATTAGGAAGTTTATTTGAAATAATGTTAATATTTTTTATTAATGATTGAAACTTAGTATTATAGTTAGTAATTACTCGTAATGTCAATGTATGATACACAATTGTACGTATCATTTATAAATGTTATATGTTTTAAGCATTTTAAATATACTACGAAAACTTTTTTTTTTTTTTGCACATGACCTTATAAAATATGTAAGAATAATTTGTCATATTAAAAATTTTGAATTATTTTTGAATTTGTGAAAGGTTAGAAAGTTTGGATGACAATAACAACAAATCTTTCGAGTTATATATAAAACTGCACTTATCTATACATCACAATTTCCATATATTAATACCTATGAAAATAATAAAATGGTAAAGTTTTAATAAATTTATTTACTGGGTCACAAGTATAAAATTTAAAGTTGTATTATAATAATAACAAATCTTTCGAGTTGTATAGAAAATAGCACTTACTTATACATCACAATTTTCATATATTAATGCCTATGAATTTAGTAAAATAGTAAAATTTTAATAAATTTATTTTCTGGGTCACAAGTATAAAAATTAAAGTTGTATTAACGTAGCATAATCTTTGAAAATTATAGTAAAATTACCCATATGTTAAGTTTTGTGACTTTCAAATATACGTTGTATCATTTACATTATGGATTTGTATCCATATTTTTTCTATCAAACTCTTTTTTTATTGGAAAATGGTATGTAAATTATTATAAAACGTCATTTTATAATAATCATAATTTTTTGTAGATGAATGTTATGTAAACTATTAAAATTATCAATTCACAAATGACTAAATCTTACTACTTTATGGTATATATTAGTCTAATTGACTAAAAAATTACTGCAATCATGTGTACGTTGATTGTTGAATTGAAATTTCCTTTATTATTGGTGCAGGTTCTTCTAATCAAAGCAAAATAAAATCAAATATCTTTTCCTTTTGTATGCAATAGTTATGCTTAGTAGAAAATTATTAAACCATTTTTACAATACATAATTTCTCCTAAACTGAGTAACATTTTCCATGACCTCTAACCTTGTCAATAATACTAACCACTGACATGTAGATAATCTTAAAAGCAAAAGCCATCAATATGACAAAAAAAGAATATTTTCGTGCTGAACGAAAAAAATTACAATTCTATATAGAATAGAAGAAATTCATCATGAATGATAATGAATTGCAAAGTTATCACATTTCTAATTTCATATGCATCCAAAATTTCATGCAGTATTACTTTAGAGGAACTTTCCTTTTTCACACTAAGGAACCAATCCCAATCTCTATGTCTCTTTTATTTTTTCTTTAACCATTAAATGTGGTCAAAGTTGTTAGCAGTAAAATACTAAATAAATTTAATTCCATTTCAAGTTCTAGTTAATTGTATACTAATATTTTACACCACAATCAATTGAGCACCAATTTCCTTTTTTTAAGTGGCCATTATTTATCTTAGGTTAAATATTTACATATAAAATAATAGAAATAGAATGCCAATCCTCGGATCAATGGAACTTCAATTATTGTTAATAAAATTAATTTTGCATTGATAAAAATTAGTCTACAGAATGAAAAGTCAATGGCAACAATTGCTAAAATATAGTAATTTTTAATTATGGGAAAATAAACAACTAAGTTCCCAAAATATTTCACTTTTATTGTTTAAAAAATCTCAACTTGTTAACCAAATTCAAAATAGTTCTATTGTCAAAAATATTTTTCCTCAAATTAACTTTAATGATTAGATGTGAGATAAATATGGTAAAATATCCCTCATATGTATGTCATGGATATTTGAGACTTTTAGTAAAAAAAAAAATTCTTGTTAAAATAACATTGTATCATAGTGTACTAATTATTTTAGGGCCATTTTATACGTGAACTAAATTTAATTTAAATTATACAATAGATTATATATGCATGTGATTTTCATTTATAATTGTTGGATCCCATTTTTTATGAACAATCTCCCAAGGAAAAAAGTCCAAATCATACTATTTTCTTATATTAATTGTTATACGAATTTTGTCATTTTTATTGTTATATTATTTCTCATTTTGTTTGGGCTTTAACTCGTATTATTTCTTGTGTCCTAGATGTAAATTTATTAAAACTTTATCATCTTATTATATTCATAGGTGTTAAATTATAAAAATTGTGATATATAAACAAGTGATATTCTATTTATAACTAGGAAGATTTGTTGTTATTGTTATCCAAACTTTCAAATTTTTCAAAAATTGAAAATGATTAAAAACTTATAATACGACAAAATTTTATTACATATTTTACGAGATTATGTGAAAAGTCAAACTTTTTTCATAGTATTTTAAAATGTATAAATAAAAAATTGTTTAAATTATGCCTATAATCATGTATTATACAGATATATTACGAGTACTTACTAACTAAGGTACTAAACATTAATCATTAATAAAACATCTTATTGTTATTTCAAATAAATTTCCTAATACTAGTTTGAAATATGTTTTCAAGTAAAATAGTACATGTGTCCCATAAATCAGAAAGTTTTGATTATTAATCAAATTTACCATGTTATCAGTAAGAATTATTATTTATGTATAAAAACTTACTATTACTTGAACTAAAGTTACTCTCTAAAAATTAAGTTTGGGATATAAAGTAGTAATTTATTTATTTAAAAAGTAAGTTTAATATTTATTCCAATTTACCTTTTGAAGTATAAAAGTTACTAATTTATTACGGTTAACTTACTATTTTAGATGGAAAACTTACTTTCTTATCTTAAGTGTTATCCTATTTAGGTGGAGAGGTTTATCAAGTAATCAAATGGTCGCTACAAGTGCAACAACCTGTTATATTAGGTAAAAAACTGTTTCGTTACCATAACTATCGTTACTAAAGCATTGTCCTTTCCTTAAAGCCAAATAGTAATACTGATATTCTACGGCATTATGAAAGTTAAGCATCCAGAATGGACGTGGGGCCTGGGAGGTTACCAGTAATAACAGTTCGGAACAATGTAATTATACGTGAATAAGATGTAATTTTACGAGAACTATTTTCAAAACTTAACAACAGAGATGTAAATATTATACATAGAATTCATATAAACAGTAACAGAATATCACGTACTCTGTTGTAAACATGTATAAGAAATTTATATAAAATTACACCTTATTAACTTAGAGTTATAATATTCCGAACAGTTGTTATTGATAAACCGTTCAGGACCGTATCCATCAAGAATGGCTACTGATATTGCCGCTGCTGAAATACTACTGGCACCGCACATTCTAATTTAATGACAAAATTTGACGCCACTCAATCAACTCTTTTAATTGACTACAAAGGGTACATTCCGTCATTTTATGTCAGAATGGGGTCTGGCACTAAAATTGCTGCTGTGCTGGGGCAGTATCAGTGTCAGCAGCTGGATTGGCAACCTCTGATAATTAATTAATATCTGCTTTGCGGCCATAAACATTTTCTCCGCAATGGGACCAATAAAAATTTTCACGCCATGATTACGTTCTTGTAATAAATGATCGACTCTCACTGAACACGAACTCACATTGGCCTCTAGACACAACAATAGAGAGTAATACATGGTAACATTATAGACATTGTAATCTTGAAGTGAAAAATATTTATGAATTGTCAAAGATTTTAGTTACCATATGATATGAGTGTCTTAAAAAAAAAATAGGGATTGTCAAGTCTAAAGTTTGTTTGTAAGGGGCAAAACATTGAACGATGTATGCTGGAAAGTATCATGGCCGATCTTATCAACCTCAATTTTAGCAGCAGGTTGAACTATGTATGCTGGAAAAAATGCCAAAACACAGATAGTTTCTTAAATTTGCACGCAGCCTGAGTATTGTCCCCCCAAGGCCCCAACGGCTGCAGCATCCGCTGCGCTTCGAATAATCTTAGAATCCTGCATTGTTGAACCTCCCTCATTTGTATTGGAGGTGGCTTTCTTTAGCATTGTATTGCCACCAGCTATGCTGAAGTGCAGAGGCAATTGCCCAACGTTCTTGTTTATAAGGGTGGGCAAAAATATCTGTTAATTCGAAAGTCTATCATATCCGATTCGATTCGATCTAAAAATTAGGATATCCGATCCGTATTATTTAATTGGATCAAAAAGGGTTGGATACCTGCTTATATGCGGTGTGAGTTAGAGTCACATAATAAAAATATCCAACCCGTCTTGAACATATATATTTTTAATTTTTCATCTTTATATACATACTATAAAATAATATTTTTAGAGATAAGTAAGCAATTTCATTGAACAAATTACATTACAAATATGGGAGACTATAGTTTGTTACAAAAGTTATTTGTAGAGATCATGATCTTATGTTTTTTTAGAAAAAAGTTTAATTAATGTGGACTAGATATTTAAAAAATGGTGCTACTTATTTCAAAATTTTATTGAATTGGAATTCCTTTAATTTATTCCCTTTTTTCCTTTTTCTTGTATTCTCTTCGCATGGTTGTTTCTTGGTGGGAGACATTTTTTGAGAAAAAATATTTATTAAATTTTGGACGAATATGTAAAATACAAAATTAAATTAGTATAAATTATTTTTTTAAAAAAATTAAATGATAAGTGGGATGGGACAAGTATCTATTGACCTGACCTTATTTCTATCGGGTACCTGCTGATATGCGAGACGAGAAAGGATCCGAAAATGGCTGATCCGCATTCTGCAAAGTGCAGATTGGAGTTCCAATTGGTGCATGAGACGGGTATCCTACAGTGCCCATCGCTACTTTTTTTTTTCCGAAACGATAGAAATTTTCTCATAATAAGGAAGTAAAATTACATTGTATGAGCAAGGGCTCAAATTTGACTTTACAAAAGTGGACTAGGCCACTGATGAGCTTCAGGTTCCTCATCAAAGAAGAAGTATGGCTAATCTACTCAGTTTAGCACTGAGTCTATCCCTATCACCAGGTAATCTATCAAATGAGCATTTCCTAAACATTGAGCAAAGATCTTTTATATCCTCCAGGTGAGTTGCTAGCTTTAAGTTACTAAAAGTTTGATACCGTATGATATTTAGAACTTGAATGCATGGTGTTCGGATCTTGATATGCTGCCATCCTTTCACCTTTAGCTTATAAAGTGCCAGTTTGATGGCTAAAAGATTGTCCTGCACTGCTGATCCAGTGCTTCTCTCATTCAGTATCCAAGCTTCGCATTTTTGGTTCCAATTGTTTTGTGCTGCAACTCCAATTCCCATATTTTGGCCTTCCACATGTTGACCCACTTCCACGCTAATGTTCAGCAAGTAATCATCCTCCCCCATCCGTTCCTCCTCATCTTGTACTGTTTCTGTTTCGGATATGCTCAGCTGATGTTGTATTTGTTGTGATTGGTGATACTCCTCCCAGTCCTTAATTGCTTTCCTAATGACTTCCATTGGATGTGTATCCTTGCCGTCAAATTCAGCTGCATTCCTGGCTTTCCAGATTTGCCAAAGGATGTCCACTGTTAAGTTTATGTGCTCTCTCCCCTCCTTTCGCGTCTGCACTTCCATTAACATGGTCCACCATCGCCTGAAATCAGCGGTGTGCTCCTTAAGTCCATCCCACTGGAGGGGCGCCATCCGCCATATCATTTGTGCTTGTTTACAATGAAAGAAGATGTGTTCCACTGTTTCACTATTTTCCCCACATATCTTGCAGATTATATCACCTTTGCCTGTTCGTTTATGAAGTGCTTCCCTACATGGCAAGGCTTGGTGCAGGATTTTCCATACAAGCAGTTTTTGTTTGTGCTTTATCTTCATCTTCCAGAGCTATTTCCAGACTTTCCCACTCCCTCCCTCCCAGCTTGTCTCTCCCTTGACTTTGTCGTTTAGTTCCAACAGTTTTTTCTCTCTTGTTATTGCTTCATATGCTGACTTAACTGTGTACTGTCCATTCTCACTATGGCTCCAGAAATAGCAGTCTAGTCTACTAGTCAGGCTTATAGGGATTTTGAGAATCTGTCCCGCTTCTTGTGCATTAAAAGTCCTGAAAATTAGTGGTGAGTTCCATCTAAAGTTGGAAATCAGCTCACTTACTTTGCTAATCATACAATCTGGGGGCTTTAAGGACTCTACTTTACCGTCCTTGCCATCCTGGATCCAGGCATCTTCCCAAATTTTGGTCCCGTTGCCATTACCTATTTTCTTCCTTGCACCTCTCCTTACCTCCTCTCTTGCTCCCATCATGCTTTTCCATATCCAGGAGGAGTTGCCTTTGACTTCGCAGCTTAGAGGTGATCCATGTGGATAGTACTTGGCTTTCATCACCTTGCTCATAAGCAAGTTTGGGCAGGTGAGAAGCCTCCAGATTTGTTTACCCAACAGAGCTTTATTAAAGCCTTGTAAGTCTTTAAATCCTAAGCCACCATTGTGCTTTCCCTTTGCCATCTTTTTTTATGAACACCAATGCACTTTCCTTTTGCCATTCTCCTCCCCCCACCAAAACCTTGCCATTAGGGGTGGGCGCGGGTCGGGTACCCGTCCCATTCACCATTTCGCTGACCCGACCCGCACCTTACGGGTCAGCCATTTTCTGACCCTTACCCACCCCGCATATCAGCGGGTACCCTATAACGGGTACCCACTGAGATAGGGTCGGATCAGCGGGTACCCACTCCGCCCCGTTTATCATTTAATTTTTTTAAAAAAATGATTTATACCAATTTAATTTTATATTTTACACATTCATCTAAGATTTAATAATTTTTTTTTCTAAAAAAAGGTTTCCCACCAAGAAACAAGCATATGAAGAGAATATAAGATAAAGGAAAAAAATTAAAAGAATTCAAAATCAATAAAAGTTTGAAATAAGTAGCACAGTTTTTAATATATATGTTCCACATTAATTAAACTTTTTTCTATAAAATATAAGATCATGGCCTTTACAAATGAATCTTATAAATAAACTATAGTCTCTCATAGTTGTAATGCAATTTGTTCAATAAAATTACTTATTTAGTTCTAACTTATTATTTTATAGTGTGTATAAAAATAAAAATAAAAAATATATATATATACGGGGCGGATCGGGTACCCACGGGTTTTTAATTATGTGACCCAACCCGCCCCGCATCTTAGCGGATATCCGACCCTCTTTTGACCCGATCAAATAATAAAAATCGGATACCCTAATTTTCGGATCGGATCGGATCGGATATGACGGGTTTTCGGGTTAGCGGATAATTTTGCCCACCCCTACTTGCCATAATAGCATGAATGTCTTTACATAGTTTGACTGGAAGCTTGAAACATGACATTGCATAGGTTGGCATTGCCATGGTTATAGCTTTCAGTAAAACCTCTTTTCCTGCTTGGGAGAGCTGCTTGTTACACCAATTAGAGACCGTTTTTTGACATCTATCTCTTATAAAACCAAAAATCTGGTCCTTAGTTCTGGTGATGACCATAGGCAGCCCCAAATACTTCCCTTGATGTACCACCTGTTACCTGTATATGTCCTAGTCTGCTACAGATTTCCTTTTGTACGTCCGGGTCCACATTCTTGCTAAAAAAGACTGATGATTTTTCCATATTTATCAGTTGTCCTGAGCCTTGTTCATACAATCCCAATATCTTCATCACTTCTTCAGGTTGATCCTTGTCGGCTTTGCAAAAAATCAGAGAGTCGTCTACAAAGAAAAGGTGACTGATTGGTGGTCCAGTTCTACTTATTTTCAATCCTGATAGCTTGTGATTGCTCTCTGCTTGAGTCAACAAATTGGAGAAGCCTTCTGATACTAATAAGAAAAGGTATAAGAAAAGGTAAGGTGATAGAGGATCACCTTGCCTAATTCCCCTTGAAGGTGTTAAATATCCTTTTGACTCCCCATTTATATTGAAAGAGAAGGTAGCTGTTGTGATGCATTCCATTATCCAGTTGATCCAAATCTCATTGAATCCCATTTTGGTCATCACGGCCTTCAAATTGCTCCACTCCACCCTATCGTAGGCCTTTGACATGTCTAACTTTAAAGCCATAAAGCCTTGAGTTCCCTGCCTTTTGTTTTCTCGAATTTGTCCGAGACTACTGGAAAAATGGAAATTGCTTCTTTGGGGGCCCGGCAAACCTTGTAATGGACAAGTTGGCCACCTTGGCCTCAGCAAAAATAAAGCACCAATGAATGTGTTCTCAAGCAAAGAAACGAAACCTGTTGGAGACCTCTCCAATTAACAAATTTAAAACATGTATGTACTGAAATTTCATTTCTGCTGCATTATATAAATCAGGGATTGAGTAATATCTGCTTACTTATCGATTCAGAAAATCAGATAAAACTGGTACCTAAAGCTTATGATAGTAACGCATCATCACTTGGCTTTCAAATTGTAATAAAGTGGAAATGACATGACTTGGAAAACTCCAGGTCACAAATTTTCAATTCCAGCTCCAATTCGAGGCATAAAAAGAATCACATGAGCTTTCATTTACATAAATTCAAATAGCAATACAATTTAGAAAATGGAAACAATTCGAGCCAGAAACCCACTTCCCCAACCAAGCCCTATGTCACACCCGTTTACCTCCTCCACCACCGGAGCAGCCATAGCCACCACATTTTCCACTGGGCTCTCCCCCCGCTCACCCCAGAATCATGCACCAACACCACCGGGTTCTCCACATGTTTGCCTAGGCTTCTTTCGTGGTGTCCAAGTTCATGCAGCCCAGGCCCAAGTGCGGTTGGAAATTCTTGGGCTCTGTTGTGGGCTAATCTGATTCTTCAATTATTGGGCCACTTGATTGAATGACTTACAATGCATTTGATAAAATTGAAGTTTGAAGTTTGAAAATTGAAATCTGAAATATGAAATCTGAATCCATTAAATTATTAAGTATTAAATCTAATATATTTGAATGCATATCATATTCAATGATAAGTGAATAGCGTGATAAGTGAATAGTATATCACTTAATTTTGAGAGCAAGTTTTACTTAGAAAATTCAGTGTCACTTAATTAATTCAGATGTTCAAATTTTTGTTATCAAATGGCCTGAATATATTAATTTAAAATATTGAATTGGGTTATCAAACAGGGCCTTAATTTGAAGTCATTCTTCAATTTCTTACACGAGGCACCACTTGGATTGAAGGAAAGAGAAGAAAGGAGAGGAAAGGATCCTAGTGGAAAAGAAAATAAACGAAGATAGAGAAAATCGAAATCAATGCATCTTGTTTGGATTACAAAAGGAAAGGAAAGTATTACACTTAATTCCATTTTTATTCATAATTTAAAAAGCTTCATTTATAAATACATAATAAGTGTTTTAGGAAATTTTAAAATTTTCATCAATCTTAGTGTACCTTCCTCCCTCCGTTCCGCCCACTTTTGGATGCAAAACAAACTAATAAAAAATAACTATTCTTATCCCTCCCTTTCCCTTCCAATCCTTTTGTTTCCCTCCTATCAAATCAATCCAAACGTAAAAAAAAAAAATGTTATTTCTCCATTTCCTTTCCTTTTTTTCCCTACCATTCCCTCAAAACAAACAGTCGCCAATGAAATATAAACCTCAGGATAAAACTAATCTTCAATTTTCTTTGAAGATTTTAAGTCTGTTGAGTGATAAGTCCTTTCAAGTTCTTCAAGTTCGTCTTCTTGAGTTCTTCAAATTCCCATGTGTTGCTAAATTGTCATGTTCATTTGTCAACAGGATAGATTAAAAGACATTCTTTCTTAAATCTTTCAGTGCCCTGTCACATAACCTTGGAGTAATCTAGATTTGTAGTCTGAATTAGTCCCATGTATACCAGTATCATGGAGAAAGCAGGAAGAACTAATGGATTATATTTCATAAAAATAACATAACACACAGCCCAAATTTATTTTTATATACCTTTGTCATTACAAAATAAAATTTGATGATTATCTGTTTGCGATCTTTAGCATTGTATCAATGATCCAAAAAAGGCAGGTTAGTATCATCATACTTTGCTCCAATCTGCAACGATATAAACTTTGCATTGACCCAACAATGGTTAACAAAAAGATTTCGGCACGAAGGAAGCTTGATAAAGAGTTGTTAGTAACTAAACCAACTTTTTTTAATCTATAAAAACATCAGTTAGTTGGTCGAATGTCCTTAACTATTAAAAAGAAGGGTTATTATCACTTTACCCCCTTAACGTTTGGTGCTACTATCAATTTCCCCTTAACGTTATCTTTTAGTCACTTTACCCCCAAGACTAACGGTCAAACTTAACGGAATTTGTTAATTAAAGTGAAAAGACATGTTTAACCCTTAAAATTATTATCACTTTACCCCCATAAACTATAGTCTTATTATCAATTTACCCCATAGAATTATTTTTTAGGCAATTTATCCTACCATTAAACCAACTTAACAAGTTAAAAAACTTTAGAAAAAAAATACTCTCCTCTTTGCATAATAAAAAATTTAGAGTGGCTTTCTCCTTTCTAGTATCAAGAAAAAAAGTTAAAGTATTAATTTCTTAATTCTTGACAATCTTATTAATATAAAAAAAGAATAGAAAGATGAAGAGGGGGTGGGGGAGAGGGAGAGAGCTCAATTCTTTTTTTTAAAATTATGAATAAGAAAGAATTAAATACTTTTATTATTT